CTCTTCCTCACAGAGATCAGTCCAGATTTGCGGACGCTGCAGACCTACTGGGTTTGCTCGAAATGTGATGAACGCGGGAAGAGCTCGATGTTCGTCGCGTCGAACACTACGTCGCCGATTGAGCACCTGCGAAGGTATTTAGCTTTCGTGTTAGCCCGCACTGTATTTTCCCAGCGCTTACCAGATCTAGATCCCATATGATTACTGAAACGGTACATTTGTTTGGCGACGCGGACGAAGAATCCCCTTGCGCAGATATTCACCCTCCCGCGAAACGACGCTGTTTGGAGATACCTACCGCAAGATGCAATGTCAATAAGGCCAAAGAGCTGATAGTCGGCTGGATCGTCACTGCGAATCTTCCTTTCACGGCGCCATCCAATCCGTACTTGCAACGAATCCTTGAGCTCCACGATCCATCGTTGGCAAAGGAGGTGCCATGGAGCCGGCAGTCCGTGCGTGGTACCATGCGGAAGCTATATGAGGCAAAGAAGGGAACTATAACGAGGCAATTGGAGAAGGCAGTTACAAGGATTAGCTTCAGCTTTGACATGTGGACTTCTCCAAATCGGTACGCCTTCCTCGGTCTGCATGCCCACTATCTCGACGCCTCCTACCAAGTCCAATCGCGACTTCTTGCCCTGCGCCGTGTGTGGGGATGCCATTCCGGAGATAACCAAGCAGCGACAGTATATGGCATCTTCGGCGAGTATGGGATACGAGGTCGAATTGGCGCGGGTGTCTGCGACAATGTGTCATCAAATGATACGTGCTTGGCGAGCCTCTATCGTCAACTCCGCCCTGCGGTGACCAAGGAGGATATCAGTGCCCACCGAACCCGATGCTTTGGGCATATCATCAACCTTGCAGCTCGCGCGTTCCTCTGGGGAGAAGATCCTGACTCATTTGAGCGAGAAGCCTTCACAGAAGCGGTTTTCCAAGTTGAAGAGCGTTAGCTTCGACTTTGGCGGAAACGTGGAGCAGTGGGCAAGCTGCACAACGTCGTCCGATTTACCAGGGCCTCTTCGCAACGGCGAGAATTGATGAAGTCATTGGCCAGCGACCGGTGTGACGAAGATGATTATCAGCTATTTGAGGAGGAGCGAGCTGCCATCGACCTCGAGCTGATGCAGAACAATGAAACCAGGTGGAATTCAACCTTTCTGATGATCCAACGTGCCATTCGCAAACGAGAGCAAATTGACCACTTCATCGCGTATCTCGAAACGAAGACGACAGAGCCCCGACAAGGTGTGCCTGTAGAGGATCACCTTTCGCCACAGGACTGGCTTCTCCTGGCGGAGATACAGAGCCTACTAAAACCTCTCTATGAGATCACCATGAGGTGCCAGGGTTGGGCCAAAGAAGGCCGTTACGGCGCCTTGTGGGAAGTGATGATCGGAATGGAATACTTGCTCAACTTTTTCGAGGAGCAAAAGCTCTTGTTCTCGCCGCCTGATGCTAATGCTGATGACACACGGAATGCCGGAGCCTCGGCAACCACAAGTACGCCTTCGAAATTCATATTTACTTACGTCATATCTATCTTGCTAACAGTTTCGCAGGACACAGTCCTCTACGAGCTGACCAGGATGGCGGACGCGAGAGACACTTGCCCGAGCACACCCGAGACGAATACAATCGTGCATTTTTGCAAGCTGTACGTCTTAATGATGATCACCGACGATGCATACAAATTTCTATCAATAATTGTTGGTCAAAGCTTGACCAGTATTACAGCTTACTTGGCCAATCCCCCCTTTTACACGGCTGCTGTCATCCTTCACCCGCGCTGGAACGTGTCCTGGCTTGAGGCGAACTGGACCAGCCGCGAGCAACTGGTGTGGCTACGGGACGCTAAGAGCAGTGTCCGGAAATATTTTGAACAACACTATCCACCTACGGAGCGGTCCGATGCAGTGACCACCTTGATAGGAAAAGTGATGCAACCAGATGAGCCTAGCCAATTCGACCAGTGGATGCAAAGCCACGATCGGTACAGGATGGAGGAAGACGATGAGCTTGGAGCTTATATGAGGCAGGCACCAGTCCGGCGAGAGAACTTGAACCCTATTCTATGGTGGAGGGATCACCAAGAAGAATACCCACGTCTGAGCAAGTTCGCCCTTGACATACTGGCAATTCCTGCCATGTCTGTGGATCCTGACCGAACTTTCAGTGTCACAAAGTTGACAGTAAGCTCGCAGAGGCACAGCTTAAGCCCAGAGATCATCGAGGAAATACAGTGCCTACGGGATTGGCTGGCCCATCGAGCGATCACTGTGGGCGAAGTCGTTAGCTTTGGTGGGGAACTGATCAGTTGTGATGAACAGGTGGCGTAATAGTGTGCCGGGCCTGGCCCTGGCGTCAGATATCAAGTATTTCAATTT